GGGGGCGTGGCTTAGGTGGAGGACGGGCCGCAGGCTGGGCCAGGGCGGGGTGCGGACCGGGCGGAGGACTGTGGACAGGGCGGCAAAGACAACGGGCCGGGGACCCGGGCTCCAGGAAGACCCCAGTAGGGCTTGGGACGCTGGGTGAGGGGGCCCAGACCAGAGGGGAGGCCCGTGGGTGGTGTCTGCCCCTTGGCTTCTGCTTCTGCCACTCTAGATGCTGTACTCCTCTTCGTTTGTTGTATGAGCATTTATTGAGCGCTTACTGCATACACACAAATAAGAGTTGGCCTCCCATGGCTGCCTGCGACATCTGCTCTTCTTCCCTGCACTTGCTTTCACGTTTGCCTGCCCCGCCAGGCATGCCAGCACGTGCACAACTGCGGGCATACCAGGCCCTACTCAGTGCTCACACACTCCCCTTCCCCCTAGGACTGAGGCCGGCCCGGACTTCCCAGGGCTGCTGGTGGAGAAGTTACTTCAGGAACATCTGGAGGAGCAGGAGGTAGCACCCCCAGGTGACCCCCCCTTGTATTATTTCTTACTGTTGGGGGCCATGAATGCCCGTATCAGCAGGCTCGGTTGCAGTGGGAGCTGGTCACAGTATACAGTCGGTGCTCAATGTGCGTCTGTTTTCCTGTCCCCCAGCTCTGCCGCCTAAACCCCCCAAGGCAAAGCCGGGCCCCACAGGCCTGGCCAATGGGGGGAGCCCGCCCTCCCTGCAGGACGCTGAGTGGTACTGGGGCGACATCTCCAGGTAGGGCTGTGGGGTGGGGCCGCGTGGTAGGCAGTGCCTGAAGGACGGTCTCAGGGTGGGTGGCCCCAATCCTGGGTGTCCCCACAGGGAGGAGGTGAACGAGAAACTCCGGGACACGCCTGACGGCACCTTTCTGGTCCGAGACGCCTCCAGCAAGATCCAGGGGGAGTACACGCTGACCCTCAGGTGGGGCTGTCCCTCCAGGGCTGACTGCGGGGAGGGTCCCGAGGTCGGAGGGCCGCGTGCGCCATCCGGGCACTGACCGCCCCGCCCCCCGCCGCCCCTAGGAAGGGCGGGAACAACAAGCTGATCAAAGTCTTCCACCGCGACGGGCACTACGGCTTCTCGGAGCCGCTGACCTTCTGCTCCGTGGTGGACCTCATCACCCACTACCGCCACGAGTCGCTGGCCCAGTACAACGCCAAGCTGGACACGCGGCTGCTCTACCCCGTGTCCAAATACCAGCAGGTCCGCTCCGGGGGCAGCCGGGGAGGGCAGCGCCTGGCCGGCCCGGGCCTCGGACTCCCAGGCAGCCCTCTGACGGCACCGGTGTGTCCCCAGGACCAGGTTGTCAAGGAGGACAGCGTGGAGGCGGTGGGCGCCCAGCTCAGGGTCTACCACCAGCAGTACCAGGACAAGAGCCGCGAGTACGACCAGCTCTACGAGGAGTACACGCGCACCTCCCAGGTACCGCGAGACCTGGGCTCCGCCCTCGACACAGAGCGGGAGACGCGCGTGGTGTAGAGACAACCGCGGAGAGGGCGCCCACGGCCTCCCAGGAGCCGTCAGGCTGGGCTGTGGGAGGTGGCTCAGTGAAGCCTCTGCGTCTCTCTGTGCCTCAGTTTCCCCATCTGTAAACTGGAATCATGGGTCTTAATTACCTATTCACCCCTTTCAGCCTGGGTGTTACTCAAAGTGATGATCACCCGACGGAGGATCGGCAGGGGCAGAGGGTCCTGGGAGCGTGGGAAAGAGTAGCCTGCTGGAAACAGGGAAGGGGGAGGTGTTACCACTCAAGGACGGGGGTTAATAAGTTTTTTTTGTGAGTTGAGGTGCAACTTATTCAGATGGAACGTCCTGCCTCGGGGCAGGGGATTTCTCAGTCTCCCTCCTTTACTGATGGGTCAGCCCGGGCTGTGAATGGATAAGATGCCTGTCTGGGGTCAGTTAGGAACATTGTGACCTTGGAAATGACTTAGGCCCCTGAGCTTCAGTTTCCCCATTAATAGTTCTGACTTTGTAGGAGGCTATTGGTAGGTTCTGTGAGATGATGCATGGAAAGTGCTCAGTGCATCTGCCCTGAGAAGGAGCCCCATGAACTGTAGCAACTAGATTTATCATAAATTCTCAGCAGTGCTAACAGATTCAGGTGTTTGTAAGGTGCCCAAAGGAGGATCTAAAGGAAGAGTGGGTTTGGGCAGTGGGGCTTTGAGGGCTGAATAGGAGTTCATTTGGTGCAGCAGGAGCTTCCTCAAGCTGGTGGAGGGAACAGCTTGAGTTGAGCAAAGTCTCCATATCAGAGTTGAGATCTGCCTTCACCCCTCATGAGAGACTAGTGGGGAATCCCAGGACGTGCTAAGATTCACCCCCTCCTCCAGGAATTGCAGATGAAGCGCACAGCAATTGAAGCTTTCAATGAGACCATTAAGATCTTTGAAGAGCAGGGCCAGACGCAAGAGAAGTGCAGCAAGGAGTATCTGGAGCGCTTCCGGCGTGAGGGCAATGAGAAAGAGATGCAAAGGTGAGTCTGGCTCCTCTGTGCTGCCCTACCTGGACCTGGCACAGTACAAATGGGAAAAAAGGAAACGGGGGGGGGGGCAGCCTGGGTTCCAGGCAGAGGGAGGGTCAGTTGAAATGGGCTTTGAAGGATGAATAGGAGTTTACCAGAAAGAACTCGGAAACAGCATGTGCAAGGGCCTAGAGTTTGAGAGCCGTCTGAGGCCTCTGAGCTGCTCCTCCCACAGGATCCTGCTGAACTCAGAGCGGCTCAAATCCCGCATCGCTGAGATCCACGAGAGCCGCACGAAGCTGGAGCAGGAGCTGCGGGCACAGGCCGCAGACAACCGGGAGATCGACAAACGCATGAACAGCCTCAAGCCAGACCTCATGCAGCTGCGCAAGATCCGAGACCAGTACCTCGTGTGAGTGTCTGGCTCTGCGCTCGCTCGCGGCCCGTCTCCAGCCCTGAGCCCCTCGGCCGCCCTTGAGCCCCTTCCCTTTGGGGCAGGCCCCTCCTGGCTCCTCGGAAGGGCTCCCGCGGGGCCGGGTCCCCCCACGAATGCCGACTGCAGCCCCCGTGCGCTGACCCTGCGGACCCCCCCGGGCCCTCCCGTGGCCGGCGCTGTGCCGAGCGCGGCACGCGGTAGCTCGCGCTGTTCTCCCGGAGGCCTTGTGAGGTTCCCCCGTTACTCGGGGAAATGCGGTAAGGCCTTGCGTGGAGGGCACTTTCCCGGGCTCAGTCAGTGTTACTGAACAGAATAAACGGGGTTCCCTGGCAGAGCCTGACCCTTTGTGGCAACTGGGGGTGTCGCACCCGGAGCCTGCATTCCTAGGTCAGCCCCGGTTTCCAGCCAGGCTGCACTGGCTGACGGTGGGTTCGGGCTCCGGCTCGCCCTCCCTGTGCTGCAGCCTCCCATCCCCGACCAGTGGGGTGGCACGAGCCCACCTTTTCTCTCCCTGCAGGTGGCTCACCCAGAAAGGCGCCCGGCAGAAGAAAATCAACGAGTGGTTGGGGATCAAAAACGAGACTGAGGAGTGAGTGACCACCTGGAGGGGACAGGGAGGGCTTCCCAGAGGAGGAGCCATTTTTGGTGGGTTTTGCAGAATGAGTAGGAGTTCACCAGGGAGGGAGCGCTGTCCAGGTAGGGGAGCCTCGGAGGCTGGCAAGTCAGTGACTAGGGCCCCTTCCTGCCTCCCCCACAGCCAGTATGCGCTCATGGACGAGGAGGATGACCTCCCCCACCACGAGGAACGCACGTGGTATGTGGGCAAGATCAACCGCACGCAGGCTGAAGAAATGCTGAGTGGCAAGCGGGATGGTACTTTCCTCATCCGAGAAAGCAGCCAGCGGGGCTGCTACGCCTGCTCTGTGGTGTGAGTGCCTGGGTGGTGGGGGCACTGGAGGGGTGAGGGGTTCTCTGTTCCTTCCGAGAGCTCTCACTGAGCGCCTACTGTGTGCTAGGCCTTGGGAAGAAGCCCCCTACGGCTGCCACGGGGCCAAGGGGTTGTCAGGGGCAGGGGAGGAAGCCAGGACAGTGTGCAGGCCGGAGGCGGTGGGGTCTGGACGGGGTCAGAATTCAGGAAATGGAGAAAGGCGACTCCCCAGCGTGAGCGCGCAACGGGTACCTGACGGAGGGAGCCGCCGGGCTCTCCCAGCGGGGCCACCTAACCGGCCGCTGGCCCGCGCCCGCAGGGTGGACGGCGACACCAAGCACTGCGTCATCTACCGCACGGCCACGGGCTTCGGCTTCGCGGAGCCCTACAACCTGTACGGCTCGCTGCGGGAGCTGGTGCTGCACTACCAGCACACGTCGCTGCTGCAGCACAACGACGCGCTGGCCGTCACGCTCGCCCACCCCGTGCGCGCGCCCGCGCCCGCGCCCGCGCCGCGCACCGGCTGTCACTGACCGCCCCCCTGGTGGCGGAGCCGGCCGGAGCCGGCGAGTCCTGAGAGGAATGGACTGGCGCTGAGCGACGCGGCCCGCCAACCCGACAGGACCCTGCCCCAGGAGCCCTCGCCCTAACCTGGAGCCGTTCCTCTCCGCCGCCCAGGCACCATCTCCCCGACCACGCCGCCTCCTGCAGGCCCCGTCCACGTGGGCTCCACTGCTTCCCGCCACCACTAGCGGGGCCAACTCACGCCCTGCGCGCCTAGGCAGGTCCAGGGGGCGAGCTGCAGCCCTGACCCCGCAGAGTCCCCACACGCCCAACTCCAGTGCGAATAAACCCTGCTCCAAATCCGACCGGGCTCTGCACGGCGCTACCTGGAAATCCTCCTCCCCAAACTGCGAGAAAAGCCCTGGGAGGCAGTTCAAGGGGACTTCTCAGGGTTTCATCACCCAAAATAGCCTCCTGGCAAACATGAGGTCAGGGAGTACACTCTCCACTGGCGCTCACAGAGGGTAAGTGGGAGGCGTGGTAGCTGGAGGACAGCAAGCACACAGAAGGGGAGTGACGCCACAGGACAGTTCAGGTGCTGTGGGGAGTGAGGACACCGGAGACAGTGAGGACTCTGTGGGGAGTGAGGACACTGGGGACAGTGAGGACTCTGTGGGGAGTGAGGACACTGGACAGTGAAGACGCCGTGGGGACAGTGA